CTCCTTAAAATCTCTTACCTCATCAATCATAGAGATGATGTCAAAATTGGATGAGGGGATGATTTTATTATGTTTGGCAACTTATGTGTGACCCTTGTTGACATATGCTTGGTTGGAGGCATGACTTATCCCTGATGGCTTGACATGATTATGGTGAGGATTACATCAGGAATTATGGCATGCACATATACACATGTTTCAAGAAGGAAGTTATAGTAAAGTGAAGATTTTTGGCTGAAAAGTTGTTGTTTCAGACCCTGTACAGATGAATGAAGTTGTGGCCATTTTGTTATCCAAAAAACGGCATTTGGACTTCTTTGTGCTGGTTCAACAGACAATCTTTATCACTGAAAACCAAGAGCATGCATATCAATTACTATTAAAGTACCACTCTGTGTCTTCAGCATTATATTTGGAATAACTGGAGAGATGTGATTATGCAGCTTGTGTGGCAAGTTCAGATATTCTGGATCATTTCCTATATGAACCTGTTGTACAGAATCACAATATGCAATCAGGGAAGATGGATGGTTCTGAGTTCAGTTTAGCAGTGAATCTTCTCTGTCCAGGTATTGAACCCTTTTTGAGCTATCCAGGGTTCTGAACTAACTTTGAAAGGAGAGGATTTGACACCTAGGATAGCTCCTGAATTTGATTCACTATTCCTCTGACATATGAACTACTCTCCCCATTTGCTGTGCCCTTAGCCCCACCCCTCAGATTAAACAGTACAGCAGTTAGGAACCAAGATTCCCTCCCCCCCCCCTTAAATCACCTTGAACCTGATAACAAAACAGAAATCTTGCAACATGCTTGTATGTAAAACCTTCCCTGCATTATGGTGATTAAGACCTATATGGGGCTCTAGAGTGTGCATGAAAAGAAGAAGCAACTCACTCTCATTCTACAGAACAGGGTAAGTCTGGGGGACAATATTTCTACACTTGGGATTCTCCAAAGCCTGCCTAGTATGCCCAAATTCTCCCCCCCCCCCCAAAAAAAGAAATCAATAGCAATAGCAAGTACATTTCTATACCACTTATCAGAGCACTTAAGCACTCTGTAGACAGTTTATAATATGTATGCTAATTGCCTCCTACAAGATGGGTACTCATTTTAGCGATCTATGGAAGGATGTCAGGCTGAGTTGACTCTGAACCCCTGGCTGGGATTGAACTCATAACCTTGTGGTTTGTGAGTGAGTGGCTGAAGTACAGGCTTTTAACCACTGCACCACCAGAGCAGCCAGAAGTTTACTTTTGATTTCCAAAATAAAATGCTGGGGAGCCCTGTGACATACTTAAGTCACTACTTCTGGATGTGTGTGTGTGTGCAGCAGCTGGCAAAACAGATCTGAGGGCTTACCTTGGGCCACACATTGTTCACACCTTCTATAGAGCAAAGAATTCAAGGCAAAAGCAGTATTTTGAAGATTCATGTATAAGAGTTCTATGCCACCCATTCATCCTTTCTATCCTAGTGGCCCTGGCCTATAGAGCTTTCCTACAGACAAGTATAACCAGTCCTCCATTTCCCACTTTCTGGTGTTCTGAGGCCACACCTCCAATGGAGTTGCATTCTAAAATGTTTCCCCATTCCTTTTTCTGGCTCTCTCTGGAGGAGAGCTCATTTTCCCATTATGCTAGTTTGTGCTGAATGAAAGCAGACTCAGCCACCCAGCTAGCCTTTTCTTCTGCTCAAATTAACCAACTCTTATTTCGTCCCCTGTATTTCCCCTCCCCATGGCCTCCCTTCCCTTCCCTTCCCTTCCCTTCCTTCTAATTCCACCTTCCACTTACATATTTTATTTCCCTTCTCCTCTCCCAAGGTAAGTGCCAGACTCTTCCTTTGCAACATCGTTTGAGTGGGATGTAGCCTTTTGAATCTAGTTATCCCAGAGCCTGGAAGACAATCAAACCCAAAGATGCAGTTATCTTTTCTTATGTAGAATGACAAGCTATGATTACAATATTATATACAGGTTACAAGGTAAATTGCTGCAGACTAGGAACACTTATATACCACTGTGAAAATTATTATGAAGCCAAAAAGCATATTTTAATGATGGAAGTCCCCCCCCCTTCTATTCTCCACCAGACTTAATTTATGGATAAAAAGCATAACCTTTTGAAGCATAGAACACATACACTTTTAAAGTGAATTCAAGTGTGTTTTTCACAATCATTTGATACTCTAATGTATTTCTGCTTCTTCAGTTTTAAAAGATACTGTAGAATTGAGTGAGTCTCTCTATCTGGATTACCATGAACCTGCTTAACAGTGTTTTCAGAGCAAGAGTGAAATAAAATTTTGTAAAATACTGGTTGAATAAGATCCAATTGTTGTCTTATGGAGCCAGGATTCCATAGATGATGAAAGATTAAAACAAAAGTCTTTTTTAAAAAAGGTGATAATGGAAACATTTATCCTGCTGCTCACTGGACAGCTCTTCTCAGTACTGCCATATCTCAGCCACACTCTTCTGATACACATTTGGCAGGGAATCCTATGATCCTCTCAGTGGAACTTGTAGTGTTATTTGAAAGTTTGCCTGCATTTGATTTGATGTATATCTTACCTTTCTTTTTTTAAAAAAATAATGTGATCTGAAGCTCAGCCTTCTGCTTGATAATTTTTGAGGGTTTTGTTTTGTTTTGTTTTGTTTTTTGCTGGACCAATTAATTCATATGTTCCTTCTCATTACATCCTGAGGCCTACATCCATGGTACTGACACTCCCACACCAGCATGGCAGAATTTCTTATTTATACATTCCCTTTCTCCCTGTAGCCCTTCAAGCTACCCAAAATCCTGATCTAGAAGTTCTACAAGGCCTGAAGAAAAGGGATTTTTTTTTGATGCACAGCAGGCTGCAGTAGGAAGGGAATATTGTTCTACTCCTGCTTCTTCTGGATTCTGCTGTACCACAAGCAGAATTGCAAAACTGAATCCTGACCTAGATAGGAACCAGTGTTTTGTCCTTAATTCTCTTTCCTTTCCTGTTCAATGTATATTATACTTATCCTGCTGCAACTCTCCAGCTTTCTTCAAAGTTGTGCATAGGATTTGCCCACCTGCTCATTTCAACAATGTAACTTTTTTTGGTTTGCACTTTCAAGTTATTTCTGACTTGGGGTTTCTTGGCAGAATTTGTTCAGAGGAAGTTTGTTCTTACCTTCCTCTGAAGCTCATGATCACCTGGTAGGTTTCCATAGCCAAATGGGAGTTGGAACCCTGGTCTCCCAGTGTTTTCATCCAACACTCAAAACACTACACCACATTAGCTCTACAGCTGCAGAAATCATTTTACCTTAGGGGGTAATTGTTGGTAAATGTAAGAAATAGCAGTGCATCTCACAAGCAGAAAGTGATCTACAACCAGTCTCATGCCAGCACCACCCACTCAGCTTCTAGTACAGAAATAAGGCAGGCTTAGGGCCTTTACAGACTGCCAGAAATAATGCAGCTTGAGGCTACTTTAACTGTCCTGATTCATTGCTAGGGAATAATGGGAATTGTATTTTTTTCTGGAGCATTGAGCCTTTTCTGTCAGAGAGCTCTGGTGCCACAATAAACTACAGTCTCTATGATTCCTTAGCAGTGAACCAAGACAGTAAAAGTGGCCTCAAGCTGCATTATTTCTGTCAGTCTGTAAAAGCCCTTAGTCTTCTTTGGTAAAAATATATTATGTAGGTTTACTTACAAAGAATAAAGACAATACTCTCATGGTGAAAGGCTCTATAAAATGTCTTCTTTAAACAGAGAGGAGAGAAATAGACTAAAAAATGAAGGATTAGCAAACTCAAACTGACTGCACAAAGAGAAAAAGTCTGTGGCTAAGACCAACAAACAGGAAATGATATCAATGCATGATATGCTGAAATTCTTAGAGAGACATGGAAACTAGCTGTTATAGTGCATGGGCACGTTAATGTTGCTGCATCTAACAGTAAAGTTTGTGATATCCATTAAACCATCAATAAATTGAAAAGTATCTTAATTAGGGATGGGTGTGAATTTCTTTTCAGTCATTTTTGGTAAGAGATTACTACTTTCAAATATTTTCATTAGCAGGATGGAGAGAATTTGGGATTATTTAAAAAAAAAAAGAAGAAGAAGAAGAAGAAGAAGAAGAAGAAGAAGAAGAAGAAGGGAAAAATGAAATTGATGGATTTCTCCCATCTTTAATCTAAACATCATGTTCTCATATTGATTCTCTGTTTACGTATAGATCAGCAAATTGCAAATCTAGTGTGCTGTGGGAGAAAGTCTACTGTAATCCACATTATAATGAGTGCTTTCTCTACACCCAAAAGTTCCTAGCAAATTAACATATAATGTGCTACTTTAAAGATTCTCATTGTACCATTATGATCAAATGTTAAATAAAAAGCCATAAACTAGCTGACTTATGCCAGCTAACGTATGCTTATCTTTCTTAAAAAAGGTAAAGGTAAAGATTTCCCTTTTGACAAGCTTGTCAAGTCATGTCTGACTGTAGAGGGCAGTGGTCATCTCCATTACTAAACTGAAGGGCCAGCACTGTCAAAGACAAATCTCTGCTCATGTGCCCAACATGACAACACAGAACCTTCCCACTGGAGTGATACGTATTTATCTACTTGCATTTGCATGCTTTCAAATTGCTAGGTTGGCAGAAGCTGAGACTAGTGATGGGAGCTCACCCCATTATGCAGCACTCAGACCTTGAAGTGCTTACCTGCCAATCTTGCAATCATCAGAGTCAGCATCTTAACCACTGAGCCACCATTTCCCTTTCCACAGATACAAAAGAATCATTTGCCATCACCACCACTCAGCACTCCCACCCCAATATATTCTGGATATAACAAGAGACACAAATTTAGAATACTGTTTAAAGTTTCTAGTCCTTAGAAAAGAAAAGACAACAGAAATTACATTAAACATTTGAATGGTGGCAAAATATGTTTGTGTAGGCCCTCTCCTCATTAATATAGAACCACTAATGTAACACCGGGAGCCAACATGGTGCAGTGGTTTGCATGTTGGACTATGACTCTAGAGATCATGGTTTGAATCCCAGCTTGGCCATGAAAACCAACTGGTATTCACACTCTCTCAGCCTCAGAGAAATCCTTCTCTGAACAAGTCTTGTCAAGAAAACTCCATCATAGGTTAGCCATAGGGTCACCATAGGTTAAAAAAAAAAACCTTGAAGGGACACAACAATAACAAACTGTAACACTATAAAAGGCTTGGCTGTAACCCTACTATAAAGTGTACAAATAAACTATTATCTACATTTTAAAGTAGGCTGCAACTCCTAACAAGCTAGTTGGCTCTTCCCCCCCCCCATAAGTTCAGAAAATAATGTAACAGAAAAAGGCTAGTGAGCTTCTTAAGATCTGTGAAATGTTTAAAAAATGTAGAACCTACCTGATAAATTTGAGAACATTGCATGATTTTGATTGCTGCCAGACAAGGAGAGGGAAAGAAGCTATGCTAAAAAAAAAAAAAAGCTATTATTTCTGAAATGGAGAACACATTTAAACAATTATCTGCTGACTCTAGCTCTTCCCATCTTTCTCTATTCTCAGGAGATAGATTGCACATCTTTATGATCAATAGAACTAGATAAATTATTCATTTCTGAAAATCATTGATTGATTTACATCAGCACATCACTTCTGTTTTATTGAATGTTTATGAAGAGGCACCCATAAAGAGAAAATGCCCCATTCACATTTATTTCATTAACTTTTTCTTTATTGTTCTTTGTTCTGCTAACTCATACCAATCTATAATGCTGGATCAGGAATGTTTCTCTGACATTGTTTGGGGCTTTGAATGAGAAAACTAAGTACCATAATTTCACTTTCAAAGCAGAACTTATTTGAGTGTATTGCTTGCTCTTGACCCATATGGTAGGTGAGGTATTCATGTAACCTAGCAATAGCAATAGCACTTTACATTTTATACCACTTCACAGTGAACTAAGTACTCTCTTAGTGGTTTACAACATGTTAGCCAATTGTCATGTAACCTACCACCACTGCATCAAGCAGACATGTTTTTATGTGAATTGGTGAGCTGGTAGAATAAATGTGGAATTCTGAAAATGTTCTGAAGAAAAATATCACTTTGAATATTACAGCTGCTTCAATTACATATTCACTTGGATTATCATACATCTGAAATGTCTGTTGTTGTTGTTGTTGTTGTTGTTGTTGTTGTTGTTGTTGTTGTGTCTTCAAGTAGTTTCCAACTTATGGAGACCCTAAGGTTACTTATGGTGACCCTATCAGGGGACTTTCTTGGTATGTTTCTGCAGAGGGGGTTTGCCATTGCCATCCTCTGATGCTGAGAGTGTGTGACTTCCCATGACTACCCAGTGGGTGTCCATGGCTGAGCCAGATTTGAACCTTGATCTCAAAATCAGGTAGCATCACTACCACTTGTATTATCAACTCCATCATTAGGAAGTGTAAGAAGCTGCTTCCAGAAACAGACTTGGGCTGGCATGAAAACAAATTATTTGCTATTTAAAATGTCACTATTCTTATAGCCAGTGAGGGAGAAAGGTGATTTTAGGATGTTCTGCTTCATGTGCCAAAATATCTTGATTGGCTTCCAGGAGTAACTACCTCAGTTTGTTGGGATAGGTGTATTTGCACCAGTTTCTGCTTTGTCTAGAAAAAAAAAACTAGCCAGACCTGGCCACCAGCAGGGAAGCTGGCTGAGGTGAGCCACCTACCTAAAATTGTCCCCAAACAGGACACTTTGCTTGAGATCCTACATTGAACACGCAGAACATTATGATCTGTCTATGTAGTTCCATGTACTTTCCCTATCCTGTGAACTGGCAAGTCTGGACATCTGCAAGCTGCTGCTGCTTAGCAGTTGGCAGGGGTGGGGTGGGGGATGAGAAGACAATTCAGATTATGAAGAAGCAGCTGGTCTCAACTTGAAGGAGGGAAGAATTAAGAGTGCACTCACAGAGAATGGATATTCTTTTTTTCTTCCTCTGAACACTAAAATGAGGATCATCCTCAAAGCCAAAAGTAAGCATATCTTACTCTATAGGGGCCCAGAGTAAGCACATTTGAATTGCATGCCACTTTCCCACAAGTAAGTTTTTTGAAGGTGCAGTCTTCATCTCTTTCTACTGCTCTCTACCTTTCCCAGCATTATTATTTTTTGTCTAATGAGTCATACCTTTTCATGATGTCAACAAAGTACAACAGCATTGGTTTAATCATCTTGGCTTCCAGGGAGTGTTCAGGCTTGAACGGTTTAAGGAACCATTTGTTTGTCTTTTTGGCTGTCCACTGTATTCTCAGTACTCATCTCCAGCACTCTATTTCAAATTAGTTTATTTTCTTCTTATAAACTTTTTTACTGTCCAGCTCTCACATTCATACATGCTGATAGGGAATATAATGGCTTGGATGATCCTCACTTTAGTGTTCAGAGGTATGTCCTTACATTTTATGATTTTGTCCAGTTTCTTCATAGCTGCCCTTTTTCTAATCCTAGTCTTGTTCTGATATCTTGATTGCAATCTCTGTTCTGACCAATATTTGATTTAAGGTATGTGAACTCTATTTCAATTTTCTAATTGTCTAGGATGAATACTTGTAGATCTTCCGTGATCATTATTTTTGTTCTTTTAATGTACCACATTAATCCAACTTTGGTGCTTGACCTTCAGTAATTGCTCCAGGTCTTTATTTGTTTCTGCTAGTAGTATTATGTCATCTGTGTATCTTAGGTTGTTAATGTTCCTTCTTCCTGTATTCACTCCTCCTGCCTCTGAGCCCAAGCCCACTCGGCACAATATATTTTCTGTATATAGTTTAAACAAATGGGGTGATAGTATGTAGCCTTCCCTGACCCTTTTGCCAATTGGGAGCCATTCTGTTTGTCCATATTCTGTTCTGATGGCAGCTTCTTGTCTTAAGTACAAATTACACATCAAGACAATCAGAATTTGTGACACTCTTATTCCTCTGAGTGCAAGTCATAACTTTTTGTGAACTATGCAGTCAAAAGCTTTTCTGTAGTCAATAAAGTACATGCTGATTTTTTTCTGGAATTATCTGGTGTGCTCCATTATCCAACATATACTTGCAAAGTGATCCCTAGTGCCTCTTTCTTTCCTGAATCCAGCTTGCATCTCAGAAATTTCTTGCTCCGTATATGATCGCAGTCTTTGCTGCAAAATTGTGAGCATTCTCAAAATTAAGCTGCATTTATGTGTGCATATATCACTAAGAGAATGCTGCCCTTTGTCCTAGGCCCTGCCCATTTTGGAGCAGGCCCTTGGGGAAAGAAAACTATGTGTGAATATTGAAAGACCAATACTGTCCTAGTCTGAAACTAGTTCTATTAAGTTATATGAGTTTTATGTCTGAACATCCTCATAAAGATTTTTCTCTTAATGTCCAAACATGTGTGTGTGTGCGTGTGTGCACACACACGTGTGTGTGTGTGTGTGTGTGTGTGTGTGTGTATATATATATATATATAGAGAGAGAGAGAGAGAGAGACTGGGATGTGAACACAGAACTGTATTTCAAAAGCAAATATAAAATCTATTTGCTGCCTACCCCTAGCCCTGATCTCCATTTTTAATGCAGATGATAGTCCCATTGATTTCCATGGAACATTCTACAGAAATTTTGCATAGCTTCACAGCCTTAGATATTTATTTTAACATTATTAAAAATAGATACACATACATACTTATCCAAACACTTCTGTTCCAAGAAAGTGATGCGTATCCAAGTCTCAGATAAGGATCTTGTTTCAGCATTGCAGATGGTAAGCATTTATTGATGTTTTTACGTTAGTGTTAAGCTTATTGACCTGGGGTTTTAATATTTACAGAATTTTGCCAAAATCAATACAGTGACCTTAAGGTAAAGAAAAGGGAAAACATAAGAATAATAAAAAAAAACACACATTCAGTCAATGCCTAGTACTTCTTCTTAACTTCCTTTGAGACTTGTAATAACTTCTTCTTTTTTTCTAATGAGTCAATGAGTCAAATCAATCTGCCAAATTAAGAAATATCAGCCTCAAATCTCCCAAGTCATGCCAATGTGTACTTCATACTGACAATGCACTTCTATTCAGCCAACATGGAGGGTCCTGAGGTTCAGAGGAAAATAATTTGGCTTTTTTTTTTTTTGCAACAAGTTGGCTTCAATATATGGTGACCCTGTGAATGAGCGATCTCCACGAGACTTGAGCCACCAGAAGCCCATCGGGCCAAGTTGGGGGTGTGGCATTCAGATAGCACATGCCTCAAATGTAGTCAGAAACCACTCTGGGCCTAGTTCTTTCCCAAAGAACTGGCCTGAAAAGGAGCGGTAAATACCACTCCTTTTTTATGCCCAATTCTGGACCATGGCAGCAGTCTGGATCAAGACCAGGCACAAGTGGCTGCCACAGTCGTGGGGTGAATGGTGGAGGTGTGGTCCTGGCATGGACTTTTTATGCCATCTGCTTCATCCGTAGGTGATCAACAACTCTTGTAAGCCTAGCGCTGTGGCTTACCTGGTTGAATTCCCTTATTTTCCTGCGTATAAGACTACTTTTTTACCTGCAAAACCTGTGGCTAAAGTGGGGGGGGTCGTCTTATATGCCGGATATAAGGATAATGAGGATAGAGGTGCTAAAACTCTATATTTTGACTGGAAAAATTGGGGGGTTGTCTTATACGTGGGTCGTCTTATACGCCGGAAAATACGGTAATACAACTTTAATGTGGTCTACCTCTTTCCCTACTTCTATTCAATTTTATCAAACATTAACATACATTCCAATCAGTCATGTCACCTTATGATATGTCTGAAGGCCTTATAGAGCTTTCTTGTATTTATTGCATTCATCCTCCATCTTTCACCCACAAAGGAATTCAAATGATTCCTAGACAATCTGATTAGATTTTCTAATGGTTATAGCATCTCCTGGTTTGACATGAACTTTTTTCTGCCATAATCAAAGAACAAAAAGGAGTCCCTATCCCCCCGTCTACAGAAATCCACTGGACTGTTAATTGAAACCAATATCAACATTTGCAGTG